GAAAGGTAACTGAATAAAATACTAAGTTGATATTTTTTTGTACCTTGGGACCTTTAGCTCCAGGGTTGGAGTTATCACTTTTGATATGTTCTTCCGTTTTCTTCAATAGATCTTCAGGATTGGGCTCCAATATTCTGAGAACAACAGGTTTCTTCGTTCATACTTTGCTAACCTTCGTTTGAATTTGAGCTAAAGCCTCAAGCATTTTTGGTTTCCTTTTATTTTGCTTGAGTGGTTGTTCTGTGACAGGAGATAAATCATCATCATCTGACTCAATTACCTGGACTTCAGTTTTTTTGAGTTTGCATTTTTATGAGTTGGTGGTGGTTTTCGATTCACTTGAAAGATAGTTCGAAGCATTAAAAACATAACAATGAACGACAAAGGAGTAATGAGTAAAATAAAATTACCCTTCTTGTTGTTGTTAGTTTTCTACCTCCTTCTTCTTTCACTTCGACTGGCTTTCTGGTATGGGTTTTATAGGTGGAACCTTTACAGTTGAAAGAACATCAAAACAATTATTGCAAGCAAAGAAAAATAAATAAATAAAAAAGTTTTGGTCGAAACGCCTTCCATTCCACACTTTCATATATTTCAGACTCGATGTGAAAATCCTTAATGCCAATATGAAGGTGTCCTTTGAAACAGTCTAATGTATGCTTTTCCGTCACCACCCACTGGGTAAGTCTTCGTGAATCCTGACGAAGAATTTTTACGAAATCCCCACAAACTCACTAGTATGGAAATGGAGGGCTAAAGACCACACCAAAGTCAACACTTGGCAGTCGAGGAAATTTAGGAGGATACATGTTAAAGTTGTTTCGTACCGTTTCTCAGTAAGAACGTTGAAAGGGAGCTTTAATTTATCCATTTTCTTAAAAAATTATCTTTCAAAGTGAAATCTGCTTTGCGGACGGTTCAACTAAGATCATCAAGCCTATAGGCAGTTTTGAAGTACTTTTGGAATGCTTGGATTTTCTTAATATGAGTCGAAGTACCTTTCTTGATCTTCTCTTGCACAGAGAGGAAAACATTGTTAAAAAGTTCAATAAAGGCAGCCACATCGAAGAATTCTTCACCATAATATTCTTTCAACCACTTCTCAAACTCCGGAGTGCAGAGGAAATTTGGTTCGAAAGCAACAGGAGCGAGTTGTGTTTGACCAGCATAGCGAGCTATTCACTTAATGGTCATAGCCTCAGTATGAATGGTATTGTAAAGAAGAAGGGCATTCTTTTTCTCATAGATGGGTCATGGTAGAATTTGGATCAAGCCAAACTGTCGAGTGACAATGTTTGGTTAATAATCAATGAGAGTAACTTAAGTTTTCGGTTGATTAAGCCTAATGTTTAGCACCCTAGAAGTTAATAAAGCTTCCCATATGGCGAGGAATTATGCTTCTTAATTTTTTATTGGAGCTAAGAATGACCTGGTAAATCATTCAGGATCGTGTCTTCGAGCGGCAAAATGAGCCATGTTCGACGTAAAATCCTAACGTTTGGGGAATATCATCACATAGTTGGTAAAATTCTATTATAAGTGACACCCTTCGTCGCTATGAGTCAATATGGCTAAACGCGTCCCTTCGACTCTCCTAGTTTACACTTCATCAGTGTCCTCGTTGATAGGATTCTTGATAGGCAGACATGCTTCGGAGGAGGCATTCAGCCATAGCTACAACAACCAAAATGGGCCAGAAAGAAGATATTTCCCTTTGTCTCCAAGGCACTTGAGTTGGGGTAGCACCTTAGATTCATAAAGACTTGCCAAAATCATCTCACTTAAGCACAAGTCGTGACCAGAATGGAGTTGGTTGGCCATCGTCAGATATTTTTTGGGCACCTGAAGTGACTTCGAACAGAAGACACAATGGGATAACTATAAAGTGAAGAAATCTATTTATTCTACTTCAGAAACTTCATATGTTGTTTTGTGATGATAGTGTGAAATATGAGTTGAGTAGGCAGCTCTGGATGTCGAAAAATCTATGGTGTCATCGACTTGGTAGTCTAGGCCATAAGTATTGCTAGTTGGTTTAAGCCTCGTGATGGTGGCTATGTCAAAGATGGTTGGTGACATCATCCCGCAAGAAAGATGGAAGGTGTGATGGGTATTGTCCCAGAAGTACAGGGAAGAGACTATCATAGTTGAACAATATTCAGGTCCTACTTTTGACAACTAGATTAAGTCAAAAATACCCATATTTTTCCAGATCTGAGATTTGGTTTTCTCTAACTTCTCTAGCCAGCCTAAGTAGTTATATGGATCTTTGAAGGAAGGACTGGATCGAAATACCCTAAAGTCATTGTTCATGTATCTTAAGTCAATGGTTTCATTTGCGAAATATTGTCTTGGTTAGCAAGTTTGGGGTCTTCACTTCTAGCTCTAGGTTTCTTAACATGGGCTATGGGTTTATACTTATGGTAAGTAGGAAAGAATTTCTTAAGTTTAATTGGGTCAACATCGGGATCAAATAGAGGTCATAATAAAGCATAAGACTTACCAGTAACAGAAACAGGAACCAGTACCATATATTTGTAAATCCTGCGTTGTTCTTTAGAAAGTGGTTCTGGAACATATTGCTAATTTCCCATCGTGATTGGGCCCGTGCCCGTGTTGAAAGGAAGGAGCTTTGAAGGATTCTTAGGATCTTTCACGAGCTTTGCAGATTCTTTAGTAGCTTTGGTTGATGATGCCATTGTTGCTGAAAGCTTGAGATTTGAGAAAAATGAATTTCTTAAACAGAAGAGATGAAAAGGTTAGATAGTATTTGGAAATTCAGAGAGGTAAAAAGTGGAAAAGAAAGAAGGCTAAATTATTTATAGAGGTGGAATTGGAAGCGATTGTCAAATCATCATTTATGGTTAAGAAGTGAGTGAGACGCGTGTCTTTATAGGAGCTCACGATGGGACGGTGGCAGTTGCAGACTACCCCACTATCTCCTAGGTTTTAGGAAGCTTGATGATTTTAAAAAGATCTTCGCATGAGATTGAAGGGAGGTTTCAGAAAAAGTGTCATGATGACCATGACGTCATAATAGTGCTGAGGTATATGAACAATTTACGTTGTAGGACTGATTGTGGCATCAAATCATGTTATAAAAAAATGCATTTTTCTTCACATGGTGTCGAAAATAACATTTTTGGGGGGCAATTTGTTAGCTCGTAAATTCGACACCTAATTTAAGTTAGTGAAATAAATAAAGGAAAGAGAATTTTTGGGAAGTTATGGCAGACTTCGACATGACATTTTATTTATGGAAGTCTAGTCGAAGTGACCCCTGTGCCACAAGGAAAGATTGTTTGGACTTAGAGAAATTATCTAAGTTTGAAGGTGTAGTTCGACGAGAAGGCCACTAATGGCGTCTTTGATTTAAGGTTAAAATTTCAATAAAGAAGAGAACTTTGTTCTTATCCAGTTCCAAGAGAAGACACATGGAACATATTAAGGAGGCGAAGACATGTCGAGTGTCACTTGTCTTGTTGTAGGAGAAAGGCTGTTAGGGGCAGTTATCTCGATTCAATATAAATAAGAGGTCTTAGTGATAGGATTTAGTGTATGATCAAGCGTGTACAAGTTACTCAAATTACTCAGAGTACCCAGTGTGTAGAGAAAAGAGTTATTGAGAAATGTATGTTTGATGAAACATCATTCTCTTACACTTTAATCAAATTCAGTTTATACTTTTCTCCATAAATTTATCTTCTTTATTGCATAAGTTTCTTTTGATGCGTTGACAACACTTCTTGATTACTTTTTCACAACGTATTTCTCTTATCGAATTACACTATTTTTCAATCATGAATGTTGTCGAAGTGTTCATTGTTTCTCAAACTTTAGTTTAAAAAAACATTAGTACATGTCCTAGGATTCACTAGTTGACCCTGTAAGTTAACCAATATTTGGAGACCAGCTGTTGTTTACCTAATTTCACGGTAAATAAATTGGCACGCCCAGTGGGACAGTGCTAGTGATATTTTTAACTGTTTTCCTTTTTAATTTTTTTTACCAAATTCTTTACGTTTGTTGTCTCCCTTTTTCTAAACTTCGTTGTATGTTATTGAGAAGTGGTAAATTAGCCATCACTAACAAAGATAGACCAAGGAGAAGATACACGAGAAAAATGGCGAATCAAAGTCAGCCAAACAATCCAAATCCTCAAAATACATCAAACAATGGAGAACCTACCCCAACATCTTCGGCAGGGGGAACCATGATCGCAATACCTATTTCTGAACCGGTTTCATCCATGGCAAGTTCGATGCCTACTCTGTCGATTGCCCATAGGCACCATCCATGGCAAGTTCGATGCCTACATAGTCATTTACCCTAGTTCAATGCAATATCGAAAGATTGCTCCATCAATCTAAGATCTCATCTCAACTCTCACCAGTCAATTTCTATTTCCTTAACAAAACAAATAATATTCATAAAATAACTATCGACCGAAAGAAATAAATATAGGATGTCTTACTAATAAGAAAAATTAAAATATATAAATATAATTTGATTTAATTTTATAAAATCAATTTAAAATATGTTTTCATCCGAACAATTTTTAAAAAATAACATCTAAATTCAGTTAGTAATATTAAATTTTTTTAATTATTTATAATATATTTGCGATTTTTATTTTAATCACTTTAAATTTAACTTTTCTAATATTAGTTGATTTAGATGAATAATGTATTAATTCTTGATAACAATATTTCTTTGTAATTTTTTAAAACGTACTTGTTTATTTAAAACAAAATGTGGAAACTAATAAATCAACAATTTTAATTAAAAAATGTAATACTTTAAATTAAAGAAAAAAGTTTAAATTCTCTTTAGATACAAACATTTCTATACATATCATTACAATAATTTAATGTGACGTGTGAAAGGAGACTACCCGGCGTCTATAAAACAAAAACACCTGTCCATGGTGGGCCTCATTTCCCGACGAAAGCGAGCAGCTGAGTTGAGAGTATATACTATAACGTGTGGAAACAACGAAAATGAAATCGAAAGGGAAGAGAAGTCGTAAAGAAATGGAGAGTGAGAATCCCAATTCCGACGCTAACGCCGCACTCATCAACTCATTCATCGAAATCACTTCTTCCACTCAACAAGAAGCACTTTTCTTTCTTGAGAGTCACAATTTCGACCTAGACGCTGCCGTTTCGACCTTCTTCGAAAACGACAACGCTGCCATTCCGAATATCACTATAAACGACAACACTGGTAATACCGTTTCGCCTAATGAGTCTCTTTCGCCTGATTTTCAACCTTCTGAATCTCTGTCGCGGTCTCAGTCGCCGCCATCCACCCGCGCACTCCGATCTAGACGGTCTCTTGGGAAGAAACCGTCCGGAAGTCGGCAGAGTGGGATTCGGACTCTGAGGGATGTTAAAGGTGATCAAGAGTCTGGTTCTGGTTCGGAATCTGAGGAACCGCAGGAGTATTATGCTGGTGGTCAGAAGAGGTAATCTTTTTCAGGATAGGAGCATTACACAATCGAATTTCGTGATTTTGATTCTGGAATTGCGAATGAATGCTCTGTGCTGTAATGTGCTAATTGCGAAACTAGGGTTTAGGTTTTGTGAACTTGTGTTTCCGTTTACGTCTTTGCCCTTTTTTGTGTGTTTATATCTAAATCTTAGGGTGTGTTTGCGTAAGGGCATTTTGGAGAGGAGGGTTTGTTTTTCTTTTCTATATTTAGCTAGCTATTAACTGTTTCTAAAAATGAGTGAGTTGTGATCAAATTTACAGTGATCTTAAAACACGGCAATTTCTTAAAACATGTATAGTAAAATATAGACCTAGCAGCAAATCCTAGCTCAACAGAAGCCGATATTGTTAGGTTGAACTTCATTACTAGGGTTTGGACATTGTACTCTCTGTTGTGTGTGTGAGTTTCTAGTTGTTGTTATTGCCACTTCGAGTACCGACTGGAAAAAATGTAGACGTGGCTCTCAAAAATCTTCATCCCAAATAGACCCTAATGTCTTCCTCTTCAATATAGAATATATTTAGAGTAGTTAGGTTAAACTTTTTAAATAATTTTGGTTTATCAAACAAATGTTAAAATATGTTGAATTAGTTTGTGCATCTCAGTGAATACAAGCCTATAAAAACCTATTGGCTAGTGAGGCATTGTAATATTATTTCAGTTGACAGTTTCAATGAGGTAGAAGTTCATTCCAGAGCTTAGTTTCATTTGATATAATTGACAAGTTTCAATGAGTTAGAAGCTCATACTAGAGCTTAGTTTCATTTGATATAATTGACGAGTTTCAATGAGTTAGAAGCTCATACTAGAGCTTACTTTAGTTTGATATAATTGACGAGTTTCAATAAGCTAGAAGTAGTTTTATTGTACCTTTGTTTTCATTGTTGCAGTGGTATGCTTGTCCAAGATCCTACTAGAGGTGGTCATACTGTGGATGATATTTTTGACCAGGCTAGACAAGTAGCTGTTGATGCTCCTACTGAAAATTCTTCAAGGTCAAGAAGTTTTACTGGAACAGCCAGATTGCTTTCCGGAGAGGCATTGCCATCTGCTCCTCAGCCAGTAGAGTCAATTACACATGTGGTTACTTTTTGGAGGAATGGGTTTTCTGTCAATGATGGTCCTTTGCGGAGGTTGGAAGACCCGCAAAATGCATCATTCCTTGAGGTATCTTAACTTGTTATCAAATTTGTTATCCATATTTTGTAAATTTTAACATTTGTCTTGACATCTTCTAAATTTATTGAAAACTTTTGCTTGACCTCATCATTTACAACTTGTGGATGTTATTGAAATGTTGCCAACTTCTAATAGGATAGGGCTTAGGTATAATCCCGACAACTATGCTGAATAGAGAAGTTAGAGAATAATTGCTGATATGGCCAGTTAGTTAACATGGCTATAAGGAGAATGGAGGAGGAGGACAAGTGTGAGGATTATATCTTTATTTTATTTTTCAGAAACCTTAGGTGGTTGGGAAGAGAGAGAATAGTCTCTTCGCTTAGAGCTGTGTTAGGGGGTTATAGGGGGTTTGCTTTTGCAGCTTTTTTCTCTGTCAGTCAATAATACAATTTTTATTTCTCTTTAATCGGGATTTTACCACTTGGTCGGACCGATGAGATATTCAAAGAGAGCTAAGGTTGCTGGAGATTGGAAGCTACACATGGTAGCGGTCATTTTGTGGGTATACTTTTGAACATAATAGGCCAAGACCTAGTCCAACGAATTTGATATCTCATTATTTCTACACCCCAACCCCTGTTTTTGAGGGCACAAAAAGAGTGCACAAAACCAAAAGGATGTGGCTAAGTAAGCTGTACTTGCTAACTTAGCAAATGTTGAGCTGGAATTGGACAATCTTTTGAACGTGCAATCAGCTGTAAAATTTCTTAGAACTTTCATAATAGCTCCTTCATTTTGTAATTTCTAATTTCAATCTTGAAAACAAGGTTGTTCTTTGAGTGGCAGTTAATGAAAAAGGATACTGGTTTTGGGCCTAAGCCGCTGAAGAATGGTCTAGAGAACCGCTGATGTGACCAATTGGTTAGGAGAGAAGCTATAGGAAAAGAAAAGCCCAAATAAGGGATCATTAGGTATCTTTTTTGTTGGATCCTTACGTTAAGTAGGGAGGTAGAATCACCTCTTCTATGATGAGCTTTGGTATTGAGATTATATCATTTTCTTGTTGGAAGTATTATATGCATCTCATTAGTTTACCTCAATGCAGAGCATAAAGAAGTCCGAATGTCCCAAAGAGCTTGAACCAGCTGATCAGCAAATACCTGTTCGTCTCAGCCTCACAAGGCGGGATGAAAACTACCCGGTATATCTCTTGTTTTCTGTCATCTGCTTTGAGTTTGTGTTCTATTTCTATATTTTCTTTTTTACTTATCTATTTTCTTTTTGGTAACATATCTAGGAATCGGTGAAGCCAAGGAATACTCCTTTTCGGGGGGTTGGAAGAACTTTAGGTGACCGCAGCTCAAGTGGTGAAGCTGCCAGCGAGCCTATTCAAACTGCTGCTAGCGCTTCCTCATTTACTGTTCCGGTGCCAACAATGGGTCTAGTTGTAGATGAGTCCCAACCAGTGACATCAATCCAGCTAAGGTTAGCTGATGGTACAAGAATGGTTTCTCGCTTCAATCACCGCCACACAATCAGAGATGTTCGAGCATTCATTGATGCATCAAGAACTGGTGGGGCAAGAAGTTACCAACTGCAGACAATGGGTTTTCCTCCCAAACAACTTACTGATTTGGACCAGACTATAGAGCAAGCTGGTATAGCCAATTCAGTTGTTATCCAAAAGTTATAGGTTGTTTTCCCAATTTTTATTTCAAACCAAATTGAAATTATCATCTTAATGCATAAACATTGATTGAACTAGGTTTGTGAATTTCACAAAATGTACTTTGTTGGTATACTTCATACTGAATTGCTTTCATGAAGAGGAACTATCGGATTAAATCGAGGTATTTTACTAGGAAAGTCGTGCTAAGATTTTGTTTGGTCAAAATCATACAATATTGTTTTATTATTATCTGCATAGAAGATGCTTTCATTACCTCCACATTTTAATATTGATCTGTGTTCTCAAATAGTTTCCAACTTTTCATGCAAACTTAATAAAGTAGAATAACAAAATGTTCTATTATCTTTTTTGTTCACATTTTAAGTGAAATCAAGATATTCTACTTAAATTTTAGAGTTTTTTTATTTTATTTTAAAATAACTCATTATTTCAATAAAAAATTCAAAATAACCTAAGTTTCAAATAAATTATTTACCAATTAACTTTCAAAATAGTGGTGTTATATGATATGACGAATTAAACCCCCTCTATAAGGAGGAGCCATATGATATGGCGCATTAGAGTTATTATTTTTTAGAAGGAGACGTCATATGATATGACGCATTAGATTTTTTTTTTTTTACACTGATGCGATGCTTATGACGCATCCGTATATAATTTTTTTAAATTTTAAATTTCTAATTAAAATAATGTGAAATGATTTATTTTTAATGGGTAGATACGCCATATGATACGGCTACTACACTATTTCAGTTTTTCTATAAATAAGATTGTATGTTCATTTGTTATTTTATGACAATTATCACCAATACTCTCAACTCAATTTAAAAGTATGTCTGCATTCCTAAATTAGCGTTCATCATCATCGGAGGTTCTGCTTCCAACATTTTCAATTATGAAAAGAGATACTCTTGTTTTTTTCCAGCAACAAAGCCTTTGATGAAGGTCCCTACTTTAGAACACGCAAACGTTAAAGCAATTGCGTAGGAAATTGAACCGCTGGTTAGAAGGAGATATTGCTGCAGGTGAAAAGATTAGAAAAATTAAGAGGCTAGTTGAGGAGTCAGACCCAAATGGAGGTACTTGTGCTTGGAGAAAAGTGGAAAATGATGTCGGTGTCCTTATGATGTTAACACCAAAGAAAATTATCTTGATGGTTATAATATCCTAGATAAGTTGATGCATTAAGTTGTTTTATTTGGGTATGTTATTGTTATATTCCGATCGTTGAGAGCAGTGAAGACTTCTGGTATTAAGTTGTGTTGTTGTTAATTGTTGCTGTTGAGATATTAAGTTATGTTTGTTTAAGTTATATTGTTGTTAATTGTAATTATTTAGTTATGCTATTAATGGAATAAAATTTGTTGTTGATATAAAGAGACAAGGTTACATTTGAAACTCTGATCTTGTGTTTGATCCTACTTTGGGATATTTTATGCAATTGTGTCCGGGCTGACGACACGAACTACATAATCTGACCATTTTGTTTGCCGTATCCATCTCCGTTCGAATACGCGTGCTATTAGGGTGACCCTTTTTCTTTATTCGCATCAAATCATTATGTCATATAATTTTGCCGTCGTATGGAGGCCAATAGTCCTTCTTTGCTACCACCTGAAAGCTAGTGCTGTAGACATTGCATAGACTAATGACTTGGCGAATAACAGAAAGATAGTTGGTTGGGTCCTGACGAGCCTTTAAACATGCTGCTATTACATGGGAGCAAGACATACGAAATGCCTGAAACTTTCCACAGTCACACCAACTCCTATCTAGTTCCACTCGGTAACATTCCCTAGGTTTCCCTTTATTGTGATCAATTGACTATGCAATACTGAACCAACATTTATTACGGTCAAAGATGACCACATGTGTGTTGGCTTTGGCTGCCTCGTCCTTCATGAATTTCATTAACTATTACTCAAAAACTGCCTAAATTGTAAAACAGAACTCCACTTTGTACGTCTGATATCAAAAAATATCCCGACCCTAAAATATGTCGCCCTTACCAAAATGGTTATCGGTAGGTTTCAGATGCCCTTGAATACAAAGTTCATTGATTCAACGAAGTTTGTTGTCATGTGGCCCCATCGCTGGCCATTGTCGTATGCCCTTGTCCATTTCTCTAGTTGAATATTATCAATTCATCTTAATGCATTTGCGTTTGTGAGTCTGATCTCGTCACGATAGTGTTTGAAAGTAGGCCTTGTTAGTGCATACCCTGCGTCCATAACCTTCTTCCGTAGAGTTTTGTCCTTGATCTCCCGCATGAAATTTTGAGCGATGTGTCTTATGCAATACACATGGGTTGAGGGAGGATTCTGCCAACCGTTATCAAGATTCTTGTATGCACTCTCGATTGATGAGTGTCTATTAGAGATCAAACATAAGTTAGGTTGAGGAGACACGTATAATCGAAGATTTTTTATGAAAAATCTCCAACCCCCACGACCATGAGTAGCGTGTCCTTCTATTTCTCGTACAACCATGTTCCACCAATTTGAATAATAGGTTTACAGTACGTAAAACCTTTGGTACATGGTTCAAATGCCTAGAAGACTTTGTGGAAAATTCCATTTGATACATGGTGTTTGGAGAAATATGTTACTAAATGATATTATAAAAAATGTATATTTGTAGCGTATTAATAGACATATAGTTTGAATATATTATTGTTTTGTCTCAATTATCATCGTACTTCTTCCATGCAATTGTCTTGTCTCATTTATTTGTTGTATATCTTCTCATCACATTTCATACAATTATCTTGTCTCATTTATACGTTCTTACAAGTTATAATAGTCTTACAAACTACCATATAGTCTTGCATGCCTACAAGATTCTCACATGCCTACACTAATGTCACATGCAAAGACACTAATGTCACACTTCTTTCATTTTATCGCAAAACAATAAAGTGATAAATTAATGACTTCACTTCTATGACTCAACGTCTTGCATGCCTCACGAGATTCTCTGCATAACAAGACTGCACTTCCATGAATTAATGACTTCACATGCAATATTAAGAGATTCTCTGCATGACAATGATCAAGACTCATGCGCCATCTTATTTATGACTACTAAGATCCTATTAATGTCTTACAATAATGTTTTACAATGCTTTACAAATTACTACAAAGACAATAATGATTAAATAACTTTTTTAAATATCAAATCCTTATTGAAAAAGTTAATGCTAAATTGATAAATTATTATTATTAAATAAGTCAAAATTTATATTTCTCAAAGAACAATTAAATACTATAATTAAGTATAAATTTTATTGTCTAGAATTATAAACTTTTTCTCACCAATAATATATAAAAGTTGAGATGTCTCTACTCACGATAGGCAACAATCATAGAGAAACAATTGAGAACATTTCAGAGTTTGTAACTGTTTGCTTTATTTGGTTTGTCTTCCCTTACTTAGTTGTATTTTTCTTTATAACTAAAGTTATTTATATTCTTTGTTAGGATGTAATAAGATTTCGTTGTCGTGTGCGTGACTACATATTACACGACTCAGTCATAGAAGGATACCAAGAATCATATGGCTTTGGTGATTTGATAAAAATAAAATCGTACTCACTTGACCCAAAATTTATTCTACCTTTGCTAGAATGTTGGAGAACAGAGACCCACACATTTCACATTTCTTTCAGTGAATGCACTGTCGCACTATAAGATGTCTATATGTTACTTGGCCTACGCATCGATGGTAAGACCGTTAACGGAAAAATTGGTGTTAATAACCAACTTTGCGTAGATTTGTTGGGTGCCCCTCTTTGTGTTGAAACACCCCAGCCACAACATGTCGGTCATCCAAGGGGCCAACGTATTAATTTAAAATACCTGAGAGACCATTATAAATCTATCATATTAAACGAGGAATCCACTGAGTATGAAAAGATAATTAAAACTCGGTGCTATATTATGATCTTATTCGGACATTTTTTATTTCCAGAAAGTACTGGAAATACTGTAAATATTATGTATTTACCATTGTTACGCAACATTAATAAAATGTGCACTTATAGTTGGAGTTCAGTTGTCCTGGCCCGTCTATATAATTCACTGTGTAAAAATTCAAAAATCAATACTTGTACTTTTTATGGCTGCGCCTATCTACTTCAAGCGTGGGGTTGGTCTAGAATGCCAACACTAGCTCCTATCAACTGGAATCCATTCACATTTCCCTACGTAAACAAGTAAGTTTATTTTTAAATATCAAACATGTATACTTTGATGAAATATTTCTTTGTAACTAATCTATTTGTGTCACTTTTTTTAGGTGGTCAGTTCCGGGAATGAATTACCAACGATGTCCCAGAAACTCAATAATCGTCTACAGCAACCTTTTAGAACACATTGGGTCAGACAATGTAATTTATTCTTACACTACCATAAATTTGGTTATTAAATTACCACACTATAATTTTTCTCATTAAATCTTGTGTTCATATAGTTTATCTGGAGGCCGTATGAAGGTCTTAACTATTAGTCCAGCGCCGATGATAGGGCAGTGTGGACAGCTAAAACACCGATAATTTGGTTCACTACAGTGGAGATGCACCAAAGTGATCGGGTGAAACTGCAGTTCGGCATGCATCAAGATATTCCAATCACTCCGACATTTTTGGGAGACTAGCATCAACTGAGGGTGGATGCATAATGGGGCGTAGTTGATTGGAAAGACTTTGCAAAAGAGACATGTCGACATTGAAAGAATCGACATCAACACATCTTAGACGACCCTGTTGTGGAAGAGGCTAGACCAAGTCATCAATATATGATTTGATTTAGGTCAGTTCCAACAACACAATAATTTGTGTCTGAGCTGACATATTTGATTGATCTACGCCAACGTGCTTCTTCCTCATACTCACAACAACAAACACATGCCCAACATCAAACACCGTGTTATACCCAACAACCATATCTACCCATCCAATCAATCTTCCAGAACCGTAACCCATTCATGCCACTCACCCAATCACA